AATGTTCCTGAGTAAACTTGATTAACATGCATTAATGCCACTAGTAAAGTTATCTCATGAAATTTATCATCATTGCATTTTGCACTATTGAAATAACGAGTAACACAGTTAGGATAACGGATTTATGACTTGAATTACTTTAATAATAATGTAAGTAAATTGGAGATAAACGATAAGAAGACTTTAAATCTTTAGTGTTCTCGAATAATGGTGTTTTATACACGAGGAACAAACAGCTCAACGTTTTACATTTTGACAAATACAGGTTGTTCAAATGTGGTTAAAATATCACTGTAAAAGCAATAAACTTATTTTACTAATCATATACAATGTTCTATCTGTGTGTTTATACATATTTATATAAATGATTTTTTAAAAGGCGTATGTGTTAATGTAATTGTTTGAAGACTATATGAACAAGCCGTCCCTAAGTAGACTATAAGGAAAAGAGCAACTCTACACCACCCTTCTCCAACTCTTGAGCTATTCTTATGAAACCAAATAATGGACTTGATCGTTACTCTTATAATGCATTCACGAGTTTTTTATTTTTTAGGTGGTAGCTGAAAGCGAACCTCCGTACATCAGATCTACAATCCGGCCCTTTGATCGATGCTTGAAATTATTATTGGTCAAAAATATAAAATTTTGTCAGTCTAAAGTAATGTGTGACGTCAGTTGAATATATGCATGTGTCATGAAACAGTACTATTATATGTATATAGATACATACAACACACAGTACTATTATATTTATGTAGATACATACAACAGACAGTACTATTATATTTATATAGATATATACAATAGACAGTGCTATTATATTTATATAGATCAATAAACCTCCATATCAAATTTTGGTGAAGATCCATCCACACCCTGCGAAGTAGTTATATATGGACATACAACAGACAGTACTATTATATTTATATAGATACATACAACAGACAGTACTATTATATTTATATAGATACATACAACAGACACTACTACTATTATATTTATATAGATACATACAACAAACAGTACTATTATATTTATATAGATACATACAACAGTCCATACAGAGATACATGCAAAGTTGAGGTTTCACATTTTGTGTTTTGCAGTTTTTATGGATGTTTTTGCGTGTTTTTTTTACAATTACATATAAGGGAAGCAACTTTTCATGTCCTAAGATAACCTTTCATTAATTATAAATTTACATAACTTCCGTCCAGCTAGTAATGAATAAAGTTTATTTGTTTTTACGTTCAAAGCTGCACAATGTGCTATCTGTGCTGTGCCCTCCGGGAGTATCGGAACCTGATTCTTAGCGTTTTAAGACCTCAGACTTGTTGCTGAGCCATGGGGCGAGGGGCAAACAAAATTAAGAGAACGTGAACTCGGGACTAAAATTTTATTCCGATAGATAGTGGTTTCTTAACACTAAATTCACTCACCAAACAAAAAATACTCGATTTTTTTTTTTGTTGTTGTTGTTGTTGTTTTTTAATTTTGGGATTAATGTAGTAAATTTAGAAAATCGGGTGTTGTTGGCTAAAGAACAGCTTTAATATTGCGAAAGCGCTACCTATTGGAAGAAAATGTTAATACTGAGCTCATGCCTACTTAAATTTTTATATTGCTCAGCACGATTATAGCTCAGATCTATCTGGCTATCTTTAAACATAAATTTTAGAGACTAAGAAAGAGCCCGGGTTAAGCTGCCAAATTTCTTTTCGTCACTACATCCATCAGGTCTAGTCTATTACTTCATTTGTTTGGGCGAGGGAAACATAATTACTAGTTGAACTTACGTTTATTTTTCTTCTTCTAGCCCTTATGGGACTTCAACTTGTCATAGGCTCCCAAAGAGTCACTCTCGTTACTTGTAACGTGACAGTCTCCTGTCTGTTTTTGTCGTGACAAATCTGACGTGACATTAACCCTGAGGACAGAACTATCTGTCATCCTGTTCAGACTGCTAAGCCTCGATGGACAGTGCTTTGTGCCTGTAGAACTTGAAACAAATTTCTATTAAATGCGTTGGTACACGTGTTAACTCGATAAATGGTCTCAAATAGCGCCTCCTGGCGTAGCTTACAGCTCTTCTTCATCCAACCGTCTGTCTGTCGGTACATGAAAAAAAGATTTACGTAACGCTATTGGCCAATGTGAAGTTCATAACAACTCTCTCCAGCACACACAATTAGTGAAGTCTTCTATGAAATAGTAAAAAACGTACCTCTAAAATAAAATCACGTTACTAAACGTAATAAGGAAATTAAAACGCCTACAGTAACTCGCAATTTTCTGGAGTAAAATCAGTGGGAGGAGGGAGATATTGATAAAGAAGATGTACAGTAAATGAGTCGAGTGTAGGACATATATGTATCTATACAGTAATGGAGATAATTGTGAAAACACACACACACACAACGAGTAAATGGGCAACTAATTGGTGAATTTATTGATTGGTGAGGGCTGGAGTTGAATGTTTTAGTGTTCAGTTTAAATTAGAGCGGTCTAATTGGACCAAAATTTCCTTCTTCTTCGTTAATATTATGTTAATACAAAGTATTATCACAGAAAGCACAAAAGAAAAGCGAATACGTTGTACAATACATTACTATCTTGAGACCCCTTGCTGTACACAGATCATTATATTTTGTTCTCAGTTTGTCGGTCTAAGGTTGAGAAATATTGTTACAAGTGTCCTGTGATACTTCCCGCCATTTCTCCAGGCCAACTGGTCGCCTTTTGACTTTCTCAGTTTTCACATCAGCCTATTTAGCAATCAAGAATATTCATATCGGAATATTTACGAGATGTGGCTGTAATCCGGTGCCATTCATTGTCACATAATGAGGAAGGAAGGGATATTTCTATTTACCTATTTTACTCCATTTCCTCATCGCTTCCGTATTTTTTTCTTCCGATATTGTATATAGCAAGCAGTTATACATTATAATACTCGATAGCTGAATACAAGACATCTTTGTTAAACTACAGTGAAATACTCGATAGCTGAATACAAAACATCTTTGTTAAACTACAGTGAAATACTCGATAGCTGAATACAAAACATCTTTGTTAAACTACAGTGAAATACTCGATAGCTGAATACAAAACATCTTTGTTAAACTACAGTGAAATACTCGATAGCTGAATACAAAACATCTTTGTTAAACTACAGTGAAATACACAAACAGCTGAATACAAAACATCGTTGTTAAACTACAGTGAAATACTCGATAGCTGAATACAAGACATCTTTGTTAAACTACAGTGTAATACTCGATAGCTGAATACAAAACATCTTTGTTAAACTACAGTGAAATACTCAATAGCTGAATACAAAACATCTTTGTTAAACTACAGTGAAATACTCAATAGCTGAATACAAAACATCTTTGTTAAACTACAGTGAAATACTCAATAGCTGAATACAAAACATCTTTGTTAAACTACAGTGAAATACTCGATAGCTGAATACAAAACATCTTGTTTTAAATTCAGTGATCCAAAAAATAGTACTAGAAGCAATCTTTTGTATTCTAAACTCTTACATTAAAATAATAAATAGTGTATTTGGTAATCATGTTAACAAAATGGCTTCTGGGATTCCATTAGACCAACGGAAGTACATTACAGTATTTCTTAACGTCATTTCCGGATACCCTGTAACGATGTACATCATATAGAAAGCATCTGTGCTAGCAGTCCCTAATTTTGAATTGATAGGCTAGAGAGAGATTTATTTTTATTTTTTAACTTTAATAACTTTTAACCGTAAATGTTGCAGAATTCACCTCAACGTTATAAGGTATCAGTCGTACAAACTGAAATGGACAAGATATTCGCGGTCAAAGATGGACCAGTTCGAAGTTTCAGTGACCAACAAGGTATCAGATTAGGTTCCTCAAACTGTTCGCCAAATTAAGGTTGGCTCCCACCTACCGCTGTCTTGACGGTAGGCTAGAAGATTTCTAATGCTAACATTCAGAGTTTAATACCTGCGATGGACACAGCATAGATAGCCCTTAACAGCAAACATATTTAGGGTCAAATGTTGTTAGGACCGAGTAAGGCTCAGTGGTTAGCGTGCTACATTGGGGATCCGAGGTTCTAAGGTTTGCGTTCCGTTACTTTGGGGGCCATGGGTGCGTTATAAGAGTGAAGGTCAAATCCTACTATTCCATTAGAGTAGCTCGCTAGTCTATCACTTCAAAATTACGGACCGCTAGAGCAGATACCTCTTGAATAGCTTTGCGCGAAATATTCAAGAAACAAACAAACTGGAAATTTATCATCCTCTTTCAAATAAAGGTAACTAAAAGTTAAATAACGATTTATGATACATAGGGGATGGGTAAGAAATACGCTTCTTAGGCCTAATATCATGTTTGGGGTTTAAAAAGGTCACAGAAGATAACGTTCTTGTGCGAAGATCCAACCATGAATCTAGACTATTTACTAAAAAAAAAAAAGTTGACGACCACTTCATTTTACGGAATTTGTTTCGTAATCAATATTTCACACTTGTCCAGTTTAAAGAGTCAGGCGCGAGCTCTCAGTAATTACATTGTGTTTGTTAGCCTATGTAATGACGAATTCACGTTGGAATCTCAAATATTTCAAGTTACCGTTATTTAATAAGCTTTTCTGTAGTTCTCCGTTCCACTATCAATTACTTGTGTGTTAATCACGGAAACCTTAATTACACAGAAATAATGAAACGTCAGGCATCACCGAATATAATAATGACCTGTCGTCACCAGCAGGCAGAAAAGCTAGCCTACTAATCCATAGTTTGACTATCATGAAACACAACTTAATATATCTTTAGTTTTTACCGTATATCATAGTATCTATCATATTGTGTCCGAGAGGCGTACTCGAAAAGGATGATACGTGAATTCATAATCCGTTTTCACATTTATTGTCACGAGAAATTACGACACATAAAATGGAACAAACGTAAACGAAGATTTACGGAAACATATATACGTACTCACCCATAGAAATCTGTTAAGGTCCGGAGGTCTCGCTAAAACTCTACAAGAATAGCGGTTCTGCTCCGACGACAAACTTACGTACTGAGCCTCCGACGCACTGGCTTACAAACACGAGCCGCTAAACGACCCCCCTGTGAGTACCGTCCTGTCCTCTGTGCTCGCTAGGGGTCGCTCCATTCGCAATGTTTATTGACTTATAGGTGTTGAAAGCATTCATTCTTTTTATTTTCTCGACTTCACACATTCGTCTGTTCTAAGATGTCAACTTAAAAAAGACCTGATGCCAGTAAGAACTTGTTGGACTCACTGTCTTGCAGGTGCCGCTTAGTCGTGTAAAAAAACACAATTATCTGTCATTTTTTTATTTATTTTACAAGTACAAAACAAATCCTATACTGCCGAGAAAGAAAAATATACATAATAGTTCAACCACAGCTCAGTAAATTGGGTATTGTCTTTTAAGCTTTTATTTTCCCTGAATATATTTTTGTAAGCCTTATTTTCAGCATTTTAATTTAGTTGTTTGCTAGAGGGTGTATAACGTCACTGGAAAATTTGTTTAGTGAGTTACTATATAAATATGAGTAAAGAAGCAGTGAGAATTCAGTGAAGTATTTAGATAGTGATTCAATTCATTGCAGTGAGAGTTATCTTCTCTATTAGGTTAATCGATCGATTAGCAAAGAAATTCTGTAACTAGGGTTATTTGTAAGTTAGGCGTACCATTAGATTCGGAATTTCCGTTCAGACATTGTTTCTAACCTTAGGCCTACAGCTTGTGTCAAAGTGAACATACCTTGTAGCAATTTATTCGTTATCGTTTCGTGGGTTGAGCATGACATTATTTTTACCAAATAATCTAAACTAACTCAGCAGTTCTAATACGCTTACTTTCCATAGCAGTGACAAGTTGTGAATTTGTGACTGTGGGTGAAAATAAATTCAATATTCTGAGCAGTCCCAATTTACTCCTTAAATATAATGATATTGATAACATTGTTTACTTTCTACCATATATCATAGAAAAATAAAAACCCTTTTACGTCAAATTTAATAACAAATCAACTGAACATAGTAATAATTTTTCCACGGGGGCATGTCCCCCACACTTTTTAAGGAATAAAATACATTTCTTTAGTAAGAATTCCCTCTTGCATACACGATCTACAGAAAGTGCTCCCTCACTTTTAAAACCAAAGCTACGTCATTGAAACTGGACATAACGATAATTTTACGGGGGCATGTCCCCACTTTTTAAGGAATAAAATACATTTCTTTAGTAAGAATTCCCTCGTGCATACACGAGCTACAGAAAGTGCTCCCCCCACTTTTGAAACCAGAGCTACGCCACTGAAACTGGACATAACGATAAT